ACAAAGCATTAAGCAACTTTTATTCTTCAACTAATTTTTAATTTAAAAATAAATACTGATGACTACATGTATACATGCTTAGTAAAAAACAACATTTATTTTATCTTCAGGCGACTAACTAAATAATATTTTAAAATATAAAATATGATTATAATAAATTATAATAAAGAAGGTGGCAAGTGGGTCGCTGTAATGGATGGTGTTAAATTTGAATTCAATGATATAATATCATTGTATAAGAAAAACGATTCTGAGCGAAGATGATCAGTTAGCCTATGATATTACCAAGTAGGTATATTTGATGATATTATTGACTATTGTGAATAAAGTAATTTATATCTAACTTATTTATGTGGAATGTATTGTTTTACATTTTCAATCTTTAGCTATAAAAATTGAAAATTTTATACATTTTTAACTACAAAATAATTATTACATTTAAAACTTGATAAATTTTGTCAAAATTCGAAAAATGTCTGTTTCAACAGCCCAAAAAGAGCCAAAATATTTTCAAATTTGTATGGTGTATTGAAAATGAAAATATAAATATTCAGTAAAATGTTCATGTATTTACAGTTATTCGTTATCGAATAACAATAAAATAACAAAACTGCTACATGAGAAATCGAGTGAATATCGTATATTGAAAAATTATGAACTTCAAACACTCATAAAAATTTAATTTGACTTTTTTATAGATATTTTTTTGATAAAAGTAAACAAACTTATGAGGAATCTTTTATTAAATTTTAAAATCTTAGATTAAAAAAGAAAAATTTTTACAAATTCAAAATAATTTGCTATTTATGTTAGTATGTATTAATGTAAATTGTATATGCTTTCACACTCATCGCATGTACTTATAGTGCCTCATAGGTAAAGATTGTATATTTCAAATAAAGGCAAAAAAAAAAAAATAAACTTTTTATGAATTTCTAACTCAAAATAATTTGCTAATTTTCGTGTTTTTTCCGTATTTTCTCAATATTTGAACTTTAAATGCTTATAAAAAAAAAACTGTGGGTAAGATTTTTAATATTTTTCATCTGCCTTTGAAACAATATACTAGGAAGGAGCCTTCTATTAAATTTTCAAGTAGGTATTTTTACTCAACAAATAACATTTTATTGATATTAAAATAAATCAAAATATTTTGAAAATGATATCGTGTATGGAAAATGCAAATGTAAACAACCAGTAAAAATTTCATATACCTACGATCACACACGTCACTGTAAAATCAATACATTCATCGTTCCACTCAGAATCTAAAAAACACATCTTTGTGAAATCTATACATTCGTCGGTCAGCTAAGTATTTAAAAATGTATTCTCGGTAATTTTATTTTTTATTGTGAAAAATATAGTTAGGTACATAAATGTACGTTGTATCAAAATTAGATTAATTTAATAATTTTATGTAAATCGATATTTTATCTTCAGACTTCGGCTTATCTGAAAAAAAAAATGAAAGTTAATTTTCTATTTATAGGTACCTACTTGTCTATAATTATTTAATAAAATATACTAATCATTACCCAAATCGATATAGGTACTGTATCCCATTTGCGCAACTAGTCGGAGGTTGCTAAGAAAAACAAAAGAAAAATTAATGAAAAACAGGAATTTTTACACAAAATCGAATTTGGTTTTTGGAGTAACTTTAAAACAAATGTCCGTAGATACATGCAATTTTTACTGGTTGTTTATATTAGCATTTTCTATACACGATAACATTTTCAAAATATTTTGATTTATTTTGAACTGTAAAGGGACATTTTCAGTTTCCAATTTTATTAGTTTTATTTTTTTATGAGTATCAATAAAATGTTATTTGTTGTTTGTAGGAAACGATTTATGTCAATATATTGGTAAGATCATTATACATAATTTTAATGAATACCTATGCTGGTATGCTAATATGCTTTATTTTACTGAACCAAAGTATAGTATAATAAAGTATGATTTTTTCTTATTCTTATGTGAACATATAGGGGGCATCGCCACACGGGTTACTTTTTATGTAATATCAGTTGGGAGCTGCAGCCCCCCCCCCCCCCCCAAAAAAAATGTTTGCCCTGGTTGCGCCACTGCTCTATTCGGAATAAGACTACACCAGGCGGCCACGGTAAAAACCGGCTTTGCTACGTAAATCTGGTGTGCTCTTATTCTGAATGGACTATAGTTGATTAATGTCGTACAACATTGTACAATTGATGATCGGTGGTTATTTATTTCAACTACAATGATGGGTAGACTCCCGTAGACGAGGATCACACAACCCACCAGTGGCGTTACCAGGAGAGGGGCTGAGTATACAAATACAATGTTTTTTATTTACCCTTTTTTTTTAAATCTTGATAAACTTCTAAGGTCAACACGGTCAATGGGGGTTGGGGGCTCAGCCCCTTAATCACACCTCTGGCTACGCACCACCGCAACCCATTTTTGAATATTCTTTTAGGCACCTAAGTACATTAAATTTTGTTAAAGATAGAAAAACATAAGGTGAATCTTGTACAGAAATTTTAAATCTTAAATTAACCGAATTTTTTATTTTAATTTTGGTATTTTTGTGCTTTTGATGAATTTTGTCAATTGTCAACATTTTAACCTTAGAATAGTTTAGACTCTCGTAAAGAATTATTGCTTATTTACGCTCAACTTTTATTTTAATTCCTACTAACAATCATAGGCGTGCGTACGGGGTGGGTCAAGTGTGCAGTGGCCCTCCCTGCGAGCTGTACTTACCATACTTATTATAGATGGCAACTTAGATCATATACATAATTGTATTGTCTTATTCTATGGTATAAGCATTCTGGTTTTTGATTTTTTTTATATCAACGAAATTAACAAGATTTTCTTCAATCTATAAAACATGCAAAAAAAATGGTTCTATTTAATCGACGATAAGGTAAATCGTGGAGTACGTGGACAATGGACATATATCACAACCAATCAATTTGAACTTAAGGAAACTAATATGCAAATGCATTTAAATCCTAGCCTTACTTATGAGGAAATATATATATTTATATTATACCTTAAAATTTAAACTGTGGGTGATGACCGGTAAGTAAATTAATGTAATATTTTATAGGTAACAGTTAAACAGTGTAATACCTAATAATTAATATAATTTGTTTCAAGTATCATTGGCCCACTCTGCCACAGCGGGCTTTTTAACATTAAGAGGACGCTACACCCGCATGTGTTGTCTCCGTCTTACACACGTACGACATAGACAAAACGCGTTTAGGCAGTCTGAGTATAACTCGCTCAATTTTGGTTCTAGAGTAAAAATACCTATTATGAAATTGAATTGTGATAATATTTCTAAGGGCAAGACGCTGCGGTTTTTTTAAAAAATTTAATTTTTTAAAAGTCAAAGGTATTTTAAAAATGGTGAAATTTTTTCTATTTCTAAACGATATAATGAACGTTATATTGGGTATAATGGAAAAACCGCAGCGTCTTGCCCTTAGAAATATTATCACAATTCAATTTCATAATAGGCATTTTTACTCTAGAACCAAAATTGAGCGAGTTATACTCAGACTGCCTAAACGCGTTTTGTCTATGTCGTACGTGTGTAAGACGGAGACAACACATGCGGGTGTAGCGTCCTCTTAACAACAACTTATGAGTCTATGAGGATTGAGGAATGTTGCAGAATTACATTTTTAAGTTTTTTGATCGAGTGAAAAATATTTTATCGACATAATTTAAAATAACTAATACAATTTCACTTTTTCTTATGCCTATAAATAGCAAACTACAAATACAAAAAAAGTGGCATTATTTTAGAAAGTTTTATGGTGCATGAAAATTACTAATATTAAAATTCAGTGAAAAAGTTTTTCTTTTGAGTTAAGGTAAAACACAAAATTGAATTTTTCAAATTTGGTTGTGTTAAAAATCTCAGTTTCCCTTAGATTAATTTTTAATTTTGACCCCCCCCCCCTCGTAGTACCAACATAATAATAATAATATTTATTGTTACTAAATTAAAATAATATACAAAACATCTTATAAGCAAGAATTAATTAATTTTTAGTGAGTAAGTGATCAAGTCTTAATTCTTAAGTGATTAAGAAAATTAAAAATAATACAAAAAATTAAAAAAAAAAAGAGAAATAATAATAACAATATACATAAGGATAATAATTACAGTACCTAAGTAGTATATAATCAACTAGCTTCACTTTCCTACCAAAAAGATGCTGTTGAAGAAAATTGAAGCATTTTTACTCTCAAAAGATGACTATAATGATATGTATAATTCAAAGTTCAAAACCAATGTATTTTTTTTTTATATATAGCAAAATATTAAACATTTTTATAAGGTAATACCCTGTTATTGAAGATGTATCAAGAATAAAAAAAAAATTTAATTCATATTATATTAGTGTAAATAATATTACATTTTAATTTATTATTTTGTTTTATTTAATTTCTGACAAACATCTTATTGCTAATATGAAAAATACAAATAAATATAAAAATATAAAGAAATAGGTTTTATACTGTTCTTAACAAATAAGTTATTTAGCTATAATACTGTTCATTTTTATGTATTAATATACAATAAGAACAATAATTAACCATAAATGGCATAAATAATGAGGATGCCAATTTCAAAGCTGGGGTCGCTTAGCGCTTCCCCAAAAAAAAAAATCCTAATCCTCACTAATTTTTTCGAGGCATATTGATATATAATTTTATATAAACATGTAACCTCGCATGTAACAATTAATATTTAATAAGTTTTCTTTAGATTTTACTATAGGACAGGACATGTGAAACCTTAAGAAAAAAAATAGAAAAATTAATGTTTAAAATAAGCATTAACAGCCATAAGGAGAAAAAAATATAAAATATTGATTTTATTTATAATTAAAATAATTAAATTTTCACAATTACATGGATACCTCTTGGCTATTATTCATGTAACAACATAACAATACCAATATTGTGTACCAATTATGCTTCAACAATCATAACCTCTTGAAAACTTTAAATTCATATTTAATACCATTATCTTCTTGAATTCCTTTAGGTACATTAGCTTCGCTTGTTTCTTCAAATTCTTTAGTATCAAAATCAGGAAAGAAAGTATCACACAAGTATTCTTGATCAATTTTTGTAATAAATAGTTTTTTGCATTTTTTATCATTTACAGCTTCATTGTATAAACCTGAACCACCAATTACCCAAAGTTTTTCAATATTATCATTTAAATATAATGATTTTAAGGCGTCTTCAAGTTTTGGATACAATAAAACACCTTCTGGCACACTGTTTAATGTTTTAGAGATGACTACATTTATTCGTCCTTTTAGTGGCCTATATTTATCTGGAATCGATTGCCAAGTACAGCGACCCATAATAACCGCATTTTGAACGCCTTTTCGATTCACCTGAGTGGTCATCAAATTGAAATATTCCATTTCCTTTTTAATTTTCCATGGTAGATCACCCTTGTAGCCAATACCTCCATTCTTTGAAACAGCAGCTATGACACTGTAAACCATATTTTCGGTTGGAATCATTTCAATAACAAAAACTTAAAAATTATAAAATATTGTAAATAAATAAATTTCAATAAGTTGAATTTTTATTTTTGAACAACAATTAATAGGTAACTACCTATAACTCTAATCCACTGACTACCAGTAAATGACCATTTACGAAAACGACGGGCAACAGTCTGTCAACGACGATGCAACATAAAAGATGATGAAAGTATACAGTATGCACTATGCTTACTTAATATACTATGGCTTTCTATGGATTCAGTGGGAAGAACAAATGCAAGCATGACCATTGACCGAGATAAAATATATAGGTATGTCAGCAAAAATACGAGTTTTGGTCCATTTGGCGCATCCTAATCTTCCACTTAGTTTGCCTCATTTCATTGGCCAAAATTACCTGGCCTACCAGCATTTAATTATAGGCTTGGTGTGGAGTCGCTGACCAACCGATTTATTTTGTCACGGAAGTCGGAAAGTACGAAACACAGATATGTACAATTTATCTGTGGTACGAAACAGTCGGTTGTCTTAAATAATTTCAGAAGAACAATACAATTCAATTCACAACAATTATTATTGTTGAATCGTGGACGCATGGTGCTATCATAATAACTATTATCTCACAATACAAATATTATCATAATTGTTATCTCATAATAATAATAAATTTTAAATAATGTTGTGTTATTATCATTATAACCGTTTTCGTGGTGACGCTTAAAATTCCCGCTCGTCGATCGTGATACCACAGAATAGATGAAATGAATTTCATCTATTCTGTGGTGATACTCTGATGGCTCTGATGTTAGATCATAATATAGGACATAGGTGATAGCTGACTGTCACGGCGTCTACCGAGTACCGACTACAATAATATTTACAACTTACGAGTGTCAATTGTTAAATTATGAACATTAATATTTAGTAAACCTTTACCTCCTAATTTTTACATTTTTTTCATTTATATACAAATCAGTGACAATATAGTGGTCCATAACGGTGTTGTAACTATCGTTAAGAACATAATTTAACCTATTATACCGGTCATGATGGATTATTAGTAAGCAGTTAATTGAAATAATACGCGCCAAAATAATGTCTTCATTACAAACTGGTAAGTGGGTTTTTTCCCTAAATATAGTTTTAAAAATAACATAAACTTATAGAATAATACATAATAATAATATTATATAAACATTGAATTCTAAGGACAAGGGTCACTAATCCTGTATGGTTTATGTATGGTCAGTGGCGCACTCATAAACAAACAGGGTAGCATATTGAATGGAAAAATACCACACCACTCTACCTACTATAATAAATAATAACGAATAACAATAACTCACAACATTATAACAGTAAATTGTGATTTTTAATAACTAATAACGTAGCTGTGCGAGCTGTGTGAATGCCAATTGTACGATTCGTGTGTGGCATAATATGCCATCGTCCCATTGATATACGAAATACAAAATTATTATTGTGAATTAAATATAAATCCAATTTAGGAAATTTCATAGCTGGGGCTGTGTACCTGTATCCATAGTATACACCAGGGGTCTTCAAACTTTTTTATTCAAGGGCCACAAAAAAAATCAAATGCTCTTGGTGGGCCAAAAGTTTATTAACACATATAATTTTTAATTTTATGATAATATTTAGGTACCTACCTATATAAATAATATAGGTAGGTTTATATTTTTGTATAAAATATTGTTTACTTTACAATATACTTAAATAAAAATAAATAGGTATAAATATAATATAATATAATTACATTTTTGAAATAATTTTTTTATCTATATTTACCTATGCGTCCTATGAGGGCCAGGGGCCGGTTAAAACTTGTTCGCGGGCCGTAGTTTGGAGACCCCTGGTATACACTATCCTTGTATTCTTAGAAATAATAGGTTGATCGTCAATACTCGCTACACCATGATTCAGACTACGGAGCTACACCAATATGGTTAGGTGCTTATGGAGGTGGAAGGCCTATAATTGTTTACAATCAGAAATCATAACAGTGGTAGAAGATGCTCTTATTATAATTTACAATATATGATGTTGATCATTGATTTAATGATTAATTTATATATTATAAAATTAATACTTAAATTATAAAATCATTAATCTGTAATCAATGTTATAAAATATGATTTACTGAAAGATATACCTATTCCAAATAGATATTTCAGTAATTCAATATTTTAAAATTAATACTTAGGTACTTAGACTTTACTTTGTTCAGCGAGGGAACATGCCGATTCTGCGCATCCCCTCGCTTCATAATGTTATAAAAACCACTAACCTATGATAGACTGGGATGCGCAGGAGAACCTATTTTTGTCGATCTGCGGTGTATTCTCTAGCTGAACTGAGTATATTATATTGGTTTGAAAATTGAAATGTTCACCATGGTGGTAACATATTCTAAACATTTGTGTTATTGTTTTACTTTTTAAATATTTATGTCTAATATTAGGTATTCATTAACATTTATTTAACTTATCATAAAAATGTAGATTACAATTTCAAATGAAGATGTTGACAATTTTTTTTGTAATTTTACATTATATTATATTTTAATACAAGCACAATGGCTAAATGAGTACTGTTTTCATTTGAAAAATTGCAACAATTTTTTGTTTTGCTATACTAACAGATATAATATATTTAGAATAGTTTACAATTCTCATAAATTACTTAAGTATTATAATTTTTGTTTCAGAAGCTCGAGTGTTGATCGATGTGAGTGATGTAGTTGACATATTGGGTCGCCTACAATTAGGTGTCATATCTCAAGATTATGTAGACCGAGTTATGAGTAGCCAATACAGTTATTCCAAATTTCCTGAATCGTATGAATCAATTGTCATGCCAGATATTGATTTTCCATCAATTATAAATGATTCTTGTGAGTTATTAAATATTTACTTACAACAACCATCAGCACATATACTATGGGATCAGTTTTTTAGTGATGATTCATGTTATGTACATCCTAAACCATTGAGTTGTTTGCTCAATTGTTACATTCATTATGGACTAAAATGCATTGATGAACCTAGTTCCAGAAAAAATGGATTGTCTGCTACACGTTTATTTTTTTTGGCATCTACATTTATGGGTAGTAAGAATATTGGATTTTATCATATTAGCATACTCACAAAATGCACGGAGTTAGTGAAGTCGTGTATCGCCATGTTAAATTTCACCGGAGGTATAAATAGTGGCGATGATGTACAATTGGAAGAAGATCAAAAGATCGATTTAATAGCTGATTTATTGGCCATTGTGAGAACTATAGGAATAATGGTCAAACGATTTCAATTCTTTGATGAAATTAGCTCTTTAGATATGGTTGTAGACATAATGATAGATGTGACCCATTTAGAACGCAATTCTGGCAATATTTTAGAACAAGTGCCTACTGAAAACTTAAGCTATGGCACATTAGCATTCAATGCATATTCAGGTTTGACAGATATGTTTAATGACAACTGTGGATCAACACTTGTTATTGGTCAAAAACTTATGCATTGTATGGTATTAGGTTTATTAGTTGATGGACAGCGTGAAATGCAATTGACTACTAGACAATTTAATGCAATTCGTGACCATCATTTATCATTTCTTCGTAAAATAACGAGAAAATTGGGATCTCCATTTGAACGTATATTAGAAATACTATTGCAACATTTGTTACATCGAGGACCTGAACGAAGTGAATTAAGACCCCGTCAATATCAAATCATATTAGAAGTTTGGAGATTATGCCCAAATAATGTTCGAATTAAAACTAAATATTATTTGTTACGTTTGGTATTTGATGTAGATGTGAAAATACGTATTGTTGCATTGGAGACTCTTTTCAAATTACTTTCAGAACCTGAAGAAATTGAACCCGAGGACCCAGCTCTACTACAACTTATGCCAGCAACTAAACATGAATTCATTGTTGCTGTTATTCTTTCTAAATTTGAAGATAATTTATTAACAGTACGTTCTAAAGCGTTCTCATTATTTGCAACTTTAACAGCTGGTCCACCTACTGCTACTGCACATCAAACTGCTTTAGTCAAACGTGTGCTTGTTGATCCTTACCTAAAAGTTAATAATATAAATCACACATCATTCTGTAAAAGAGATTTCCATGATTTTCATCAATATTTGGAAAGTAATATAGCCGATTTTGATCCAAATAATTTTAACAATTTAAGCATTTACCCTGGGGCCAAAATTTTACTGTGGATCTTAAATGTACACGCTCGTGACGAACGAGCTTATATTCGTCGCTTAAGTCTTACAATTCTATGTAATTTATTTCTTATTAATAATAAGTTAATGGAAAAATATTATTTAACATTATTGGTGAGTAGTTGTTCTGACAACGCAATGACCATCAGAAAAGTGGCGGTTTCCGGGTTAACTGATTTGATTTTAAAATATCCAGATAATCAAGATGTTCTTAAGTATTGGTTTAAAGGATTAATACATTTAGTTGGCGATCGAGACAAAAAAATTCAAGAATTGGCTGTTGAATCTATGAATCGAGTTATTTTAAACAATATCAAACCATACTCTCCCAAAATAATTGATGGTAATGATCCATTAGATTATTTACCTTGGCGTGTATTAGACAATGTTTTAAATGAAAAAGTAGGCAAGTACATGATGTGTTTGTGTGAAAAGTGGCGCATCAATGGATTCCTTACAGATCGTAATGTTAAAGACTTAATGACATATGTAGGTTCTTCAAATCACGAATGGACTGTACACAGCTTATGTTTATTACAATTAATATCGCATCAGTTAACTATTTCAAATATATCACCTCTTATTAAATATTTTGATAAGCAGTTTAATTTATGGTTTGTTAGAGAAGAAAATCCTTCGGAACTGAACATCTTGTTAACACATGCACAAATGACTATCGATATCCTATTTTTAAATCACAAACGCTTGGACAAAGAAACAAGACAAAGATTCTTAAACACATTTGAAGATCTTTTGTT